CCACCCATGCCACGGAGTTGGCTGAGACCAAAGGGAAAGGATATGGGCAGGGGTGGCACTGAGCACCCCAATACACTGGGAGAGGTCAAATAAACCACAAAAGAGAAACCTTTCTCAGTTCAGACACATCACTTAGACCCATCAGCCAGTCTGCACCTGACAAGCACCTGGTGGTTTCCCTACCCCCTCATCTCTCCCACCCCCGTCTCCGTCCACAGCCAGTTTGATTTCACAAACTCCGACTATGAGGGCCTTACAGAGCATCGAGTGTAGCCCCTTCATGCCAGGAGGCAGTACTGTTGTCCAGGGGACATGGTGGCCCCTGACTCGAGAGCAGAGCTGGGAATGGAGCTCAGCCCCTTTGATTTGGTTCCGGACCCAGCGTGTTCTCAGGGTGCTCTCACCTTTCCGGCAGCTCCCCACTGCAGGGAGCATCCCGCACGCGGCAGTGAAACAAACAGTGTTTGTTCATCACATATCCGTGCCTGGCCCTGCACAAGAACCTGGGGTTCATGGCGTGACTGCGACAGTCTCGTCCTGAGGGCGCCCGAGGCCCACCAGCAGGAGAAGGACACTTCACCGAACACCGGCGATGGAGAGGGGACATCCCACCACCAGTCCAACATGTTTCATCCGAGCGGGACCTTCGGGGAATCCCACACTCTGCGGGGCACTGACACATATTCCTTATGATGGCATGTGCCCCGCGCAGTGCTCTTCCTTGTCTCACTTCCATTTCAGACGTTATCCTAAGAGAACCTCATGTTTTCTCCACACCCCACTCTTCCTGGGGTGGCAGGAAGCACCAAGGACAGGTGCCAGGGACATGCCACTAGCCACCTGGGCACCTCAGAGAACTGTCCGGGCCCTGCTAAGCCCCAAAGACTCACACCAAAGGATGACGGTGCTGCCCATGTCAGGTTTGTTTGGGAGATTGAGCAGCATCATGTAGTGAAAGGAGCTGAAGGCAGAAGCTGCACGCCAATGTGAAGCCTTAAATTCTTCGACCTTTTCTAGTTCCTCTGAAGTCATATGTGTGCTTGGCATGTCTGCTGGCAGGAGGCACTTGCAGTGGCCAGCGGGGTCACCACCCCAGGGCCCCTCTGAGAAGGGAACAGAGCATGTGTGCTGAGTGGCATCTCGCCTGCTCAGGTTCTTTGCCATCATGCCTGGCAGTTCTGATGCAGTCCCTTCAGCCTGGGGAAGCCCAGTGAGCTGGACCTTCCTGGGGCTCTCAGGTGCACCCCCAGCCCCGCTCTCCTCACCTGTGATGATTGGAGTAATAACTTCACCTCATAGGGTTGTTGTGGAGATTAAATGAGTTAACCAAGCTCAGCACAAAATAAATGCTGGCGAAATGTTAGCCAGCTTCATGCTTTACGGACTGTCCACTTGGGCCCAGCACCATGCTGGCCTCCGGGATACACAGACCATTAAGACCCAGTTTCTGAGGTTAGGGGTGCATGCTCCCAGATACTTTGCTTCCCTCTTGGGGACACCCCCTTTGATTTCCTGCTCCTTCCGCGTCACTGCAGGCTCCTGGTCCGAGTCAGACCCCCCTGGGTTGCCCAGGAGCCTAATCCAGGCTTCCTCATGGGTCCTGTGGCATCTGCACACCCGTCCCCAGTAGGTGAGCGGGAATCGGGCCCAACTTCGGAACTCGAAGGGCCCTCCGGGTGACCAGACGGGGCTTGGAGAGCTGGGAGGTCATGGGTGGAAACCACGCTGCAAGTGGCCTCCACGCGCGCCCTGCGCCGAGGCCGGGATGAGGGCTGTGCGGC